AAGGAGAGTAAATAATTGCTCCAATAGTTTATAACAAATAATATAACATATATTTCTCGCAGGGATTGATACAGTTCGCAAGTATCCTCGCGCGGTGTTCGCACGACGTGCGGGACGTGGGCGCGCAAAGTGCCCCGGGGAACGTGTATTCCAGTGCCGATCCTTGGCGGACTAACGCCACGCCAGGATTAATATAAGGATCGCGGATGATCGCGGTCGGGATAAGGTACGCGGGATGTGTCGGAGGACGGTCTCAGGCGAGAACCGAGCGAATTTGAAAGGAATCACGCCCTACTTCTCGGTGGCGCTACGCCACATCTCACGGGTATCACTCCGCGGCGCGCAACTAGTACCCTCGGCACGAGACCAAAAATCCACTCCTCGCATGTAGTACAATACGTTCCCGTCGCTCGGTTTCGTCTCCCCGGCCGTAATTACGAGTCGATATGATTCTCCGATGCAATTCGGATTCCCATGTGATAACGACGCAGTGACGGCGACTCTTTCAACGACCGGCATGCGGGCACACGCGGCTCACGCAGCCGCGGCGTGCAAGGGCACATGGCTCAAGATAATAGATAAACGAAATTCGCTTTTCGCGACATGAGGAAATTTAACATTCACGACACGATATTCACTTCAAGATACGCGGAGATTTGATTAAATCCGACACACACAGGACGGCGGAACGGACGCTCTCGCGACTTACAATTAGACAATACGGACAATATGCGGTGACTCAGCCGTGTGAGGGCAAACGTAAAGGCGACAACTTCAATTATTCTAAGCTAACGGAATCGAGAGGGCGGCGCAATCTCTAATTCGCGGAACACATACTACTCGCAACTCTACTCTACATGGCCCGCTCGTCTCGCGAAAATCGGCGACTTTACACAACTAGCGACGTTCGTCTCACCGTAGGCTCTCCGACTCCTCGCTCCCTTAGACTCTCGCTACTTATTCCTCGGCTCGGGATCCTACGTCCTTTACAGAATTTTTCGTCCGGCGGATTCGACGATCACGGCACAAGCGATGATCCTTTGCAGCGACGGGAGCACGTTGATAGCGGGGCCATCTGCCGGTTCCGGCGACCTCTTCCGGGTCACGTGAGTCCCTCTTGCGCGACCCCCTGCGCCGCAGGCGGGCTGCAGTAGTCGCGGGCCCCATGATAACGGGCGCGAAATTCCAATTCTGAATGTGAGGGCCTTTCGCACTCGTGATTCCGGAGCGAGCTCTGGCGATCAGCTCTTTTGCGCCTTTTTTCTACTGAGTTCTTGGCAGGGCCGGTTGCTCACTCCGACGACTCTGTAAAGTGAATTGCAATAAGAGGGTTCACCGTAACCGAAAAAAAATAGTATTTAATGTAACCTATGCTCCCGCCTCGTGCGGACCGGACGTCTCGGTGGTCTCTCGTCTTCTGATCGTCGCATGAAACCGGTGAGACGACGTTTTGATACAACAATCTCCTCCGAAAGTCGCCGTCCCTCGCTTACTCCGGCCGATGGATGACCTAATTACTTAAATCTATGAAAAAAATGAGTCGCGTAACACGCCAAAATCAGGAATGCGCTCGCCCTCAAAAGTTGGAGGACGCAGAATCCGCTATGCCTTCGCGGTCGGGCTAATGAGCCCTTGTGACGGACGTTGCCTAAAAACGTCATATCACTATATATATATATATATATACACAGGGTGTCCCATTTTATATTTGACAGTCAAATATTTGAAAATCGTGAGGTTTGAGAAAAAAATGTGTCAGACAACAGTTGTAGGGTTTCGAATGGGACATAAGATGATAACATTGGTTTGATCCTGAGTGGCGTCATCAAGGTCAGAACAAGATCACTTTGAATTTTTTAAATGGAACCCCCCATTTTTTGTTACATATTCTTGTAGCTTATTTTGAGAGCTTTCCAAAACACATAGATATTTTTTTTATAAGATTTATTGTGCCTTCAATTTTGTACAATTATTGGACACAGATTATCTGACACAGAATTCTAGAAACAAATTATATAATCCTTTTTATGTTCTTAACAAAGTTGAGCACATTCAAAGGTATTTCAGTCACATTTTTTAATAACCTCAATTACATTCATCTCTCTCACTATATCTCGCTTTCTTAGTTCCGCAACCATTCTTTTTCTCTCCTCGCATTATCGTTCGCAGCGCCATACAACATGATCTAGGCTTTCCTCTTCCCGTCCGTACTCACATCATCATCGTCATTTATATATCCTTTTCTTTCTAATGAAACTTTTAAATTATAATGATTTGTCCTTATCCTATTTATAATCATAACAAAATATCTTTCTCTATTTAGGTCTATGAACCATAGTTTTTTTTTCTTTATAAAAATTATCCATATAGAATTTTCTCTTAAAATTACTTTCGCTTTTTATCTTTTCTATAGTTTTGTCCCACATTTCTTCTATAAATTTTTGTCTGTGGTCACCTATTGGTATTATGTCCTATTGGTATTGGTGTTATACTATTATGTCTTCGCACGAATTTTCTTTGGTCGCTTCTTTGGCAAGTATATCTGCTATTTCATTGCCGTGAATCCCTACATGGGCTGGTACCCATATGAATAAGACTTTCACTTTATGTTCTTTTTCTATTTGGTTCGCTTTGGCTCTGATATCGCAGATATACTTATTAACATACACGTTCATTATATTGCTTTCGATTCTTTGTAGTACCGACTTACAATCCGATAAAATAATAATATCCTTTCCCTTATTACTCTTTTTTTTCGTAAACTACATCTAAAGCACCCTTTATAGCAAATGCCTCCGCTGTGTACATACACTGACCAGTCTTTCAGGAGACTAATATTATAGACCATTTCTTAATTTTCGAAAACTATGCTAGCGCCAGTCGCAATTCCCTCTTCCCTTTTTGAGCCATCTGTATAGACTAATTCTGCATCTTTCGTTATTGGTCGTCCTCGTTATATCCCATATTCTTTGACTATCTTTTCTATAAGTTGCCTGTCTGTGCTATCCTTTAATTTCTTATACTCTCCTATGTTGACATCTACTTTTGCTTTATACGTAGTGTCTTCAAATCTAGTATCTCGAATTTTCTATTAGGTCCTAACTTCTTGTCTAATCTACGTACCGCTACCCATGCTTCCGATAATATGCATTTCTTGATCGCCGGTTGTCTTACAATTAGTCGCGCTATATTTTCTTTTCTCTTTAATTCGTTGACACTATCAACCAGATCCTTTTCTCCATAGCATATACTTTTGCTTAGAAAGTTCCTAGCTAAGAATCCCGCTCTGTCTTTGATATACATGACTTTTGCTTCTGCTATCAGCACATGGTAGGCGTACTATTTCTAAGTCCCAGCGCCGTTCTGATTCCCACGAATGGCTCTCTTTCTAATTTCTCAGTCTTCTATTCTCATCATTTTGATAATAAATAAAACTCCCGTAGTCTACTACCGACCTTACTAAGCTTTTATAGAGCATTAAGGCCGTATTGACTTCCATTCCTTTGGACTTTTTACACAGATATTTCATTAAAGAGTTAGCTTTATCCATTTTTCCTCTAGTTACTTGAACCTGCTTATCGAAGTTAAGCCTATTGTCCATCCTAATCCCTAAGAATTTAGCTTCACGAGAGCTATGTACTGGTATTTCCCCTATTCTTATACACATATTTTTATCACATAAAACGAATTTATTGTATTCCACTAGTACTGTTTTTTTTTTGTTCGAGTTCTAACCCTAAATTGTTCAGTCTCTTCGCTATAGTATTTACAGCTTTCAATAACTTAAATTTATTTTCGTTTCTGTTTACTCCGGCTATATACACTGCAACATCGTCGGCGAATTGTAAAACCTTTACCTCCCTATCTATATTTAGCGTTATTGTACTTGTATACAGTGCATACATTATTGGGCTCAAGACCGCCTCTTGTGAAAGACCCTTAGAGACTACTCGCTCGTATTTCTCTTCGTTATTAATGATAAACTCTACATTCCTATTATACATCCATTTACTCATAAAGCGTACTATATTTGCCGGGCAGCTAAGGTCGATCAACTTTTTCATTAGGCTTTTATATTGCACATTATCATAAGCCGACGTAACATCTAAATACGCCACCAGCGTGTACTTATCCTTAAACCTTGTCGACTTAATATCCACATATAATCTGGTGAGAACACATAGATAAAATGTTTTTTTGTTAAGTAAATCTCGTGTTATAAAACTTGAAAGTTACAGTACCATCAGCATTAGCCTTATCAAAGGTGTTCAAACAATGGCTAAAACTTTTTGAATGTTGTTCAGGATCATGAGCTTAACAACATGTGTCAAGGTCATAATCATTGACACAAAAACTACAAGAATATAAAGCAACAAAAAATAAGGGATTCCATTTAAAAAATTCAAAGTGACCTTGTCCTGATCTTGACGACGCCACTCAGAAATAAACCAATGTTATCATCTTATGTTCCCCTCGAAACCCTACAACTTTTGTGTGAAACATTTTTTTCTCAAACCTCGCGATTTCCAAATATTTGACTGTCAAATATAAAATGGGACCCCCTGTATATATTCACTATCATTATCCAAAGTGTCCGAATAATAGCTAAAATTTTTTTAATGTTCACTATCATGACCTTGATAACAACAATTTTTTAGCATTTACGTCGCATCGCGGGAAAGGGGAAATTTATTAGATGTCGGTGAGTATCAGTACTTATTACATTGATTATAAATTTAATAATGTCATATTACTATTTTGTTTCAACAAGAACTACGTCGAGACCAAAAGTAGCGGTGCTCGCAGTTTATGGAATTAGAATATGTATATGAAATTCACATATAGAAATATTAGTGAGCACCAAGATCTTGCCATGACTATTCATTGGCTTTTCCTTAATTTAATTGTTTATTAGATATAAGTATTAGTTCATTAGATATAAAATATTTTTTATGTTTTTACTTAATAAAAAAATATATAAATAAAATTATACCATACAGATTTATTGAATCTGTCGAAGAAAACTTAAAGAAGAGTGCACATATTATTATAGTATCATATTACAACGAAATTGTACGGTTATTCTCTCAGCGACGTTACATCCAGGATATACCGCTAAATGTGTTGACACGTTTTCTCAAATGTGCTACGACTCTCCTTGGTTTGCAAATAATCACTCGAGCAATTAACACCATCAAACATTTGCTAAACATTCTTGCTGATCAAACCACAATTCCTTTATTACAAGTACGTTTTGAATAAAATTATATTAATTCTATTAAGTATAAACAGTTATAATATTTTTTATACGTATATTTGTTACTATTAGCTATATTTCGCTAATATCTGGGTACAATGGGATAATTTAAATAATTTTAAACTTTTTGAACAATTTAAAAAAATATATAATTTTACCCTTAAATTGAACATATAGCAGAAAACTCATATGTTTAAAGAATATTTACTCAATATACGAAAAATTATTCTTTAAATCTTACGATACAACGTCATTATCCGATTTACCTTTATAATTTTAATAAAAATCAATTTTGTGGAGCAATTTAGATATCTTAAGAGATTATTTGAACATTTTGAATTGAAAATGAACATTAATATTACAATAAAAATTAAATCTTGTATTTAAATGATATTCTTTGAACTCATTCGCTGCTTTTTTGTTAACCTCTAGCAGCTCTAATCTTGGAGAAGACTTCATTTTTCAAGCTGAAATATGTTATTCCTTTTACAAAAGATTAGTTTCTAATCATTGCTAGCTATTTTGTTTTTAAACCATGAAGGTGTTGTGTCTCACGGTCAACAAAATAGAGAACGCTATGAGTTTAGGCTGTCTAAAAGATCAAAACCCACAGGCATTCGCAGTAGGAGTATGTGAAGAGTTCGAGAAGTCACACTCTTTCACTTTAAATACTATTATTCCTCGTTGTTACAAATAGATTTGATTATAATTCTACAATCCCATTCACTAGAATTTAGGCTTCTTTTAGTAGAATTTAGGCTTAAATGAAATAAATCAAAGAATTAAGATAAAAAGGCCAAAAAATGGACACTGGATGTTAGTGTGTATAGATAAAATATATATTAGTTAACTGATACAATTTAGAACGCAATCGCAAATGTTTCGACTCTTATTCGAGTCATCTTCAGTACAAGAATTGTGAAAATTTCGCAAAATAATCTATTAGAATGTGAGAGTTAACCGTGTGATAGTCAAATTGTCATCTAGTTCGAATATAATCAAAGATTGCTTATTAAGTGTTTTGAAAAACACTTAAGTAGTGAAGTCAATTAAAATTGATGACAAGATGAGAAACGGAATTTAGGAACAAAATTAAAGTAAAATAACTTACATATAAAAAATATTGCGATAACAATAACCATCTAACTAGATGTTATATGTGTACGATTCGAAGTGTAATGAACTTGTGAGTGTCCGAAGGCCGTAGCGCTGTTGTTATCAGATGTTAAAACAATATAAGAAGGATGCACCATGTGCACCCATGTGCACCTATGCACTATGTTACGTTCGTGGCGGAGTTTAAGCATCACGTTCGCGTTCGCAGCGAATGTCTTGCCTGTGCATGCGGTGTCGAGTAACTTGATGCCGGTTATCGCGGACACGTAACGTGTTGTCGATATTACTGTCTTAATAGAATTCCAGACCGCACGTTTAGGCGGCCGAATATAAAGGATTTTTGGTGCCCTATTTCAATGTGCAATGACCCGCGATCGACCATGTATGGTCATGGCAAGTCAGATGTACTTTGTTTATGCTATCTACGTTCGCGCTCGTCACGAGGAATTCACAAACTTGCAGTCTTGCATTTTCGCTATACATGCGTTGCTATGCCGAAATGTAAGACTTATGTTGTAATGGCTATAACAACTTGGGCTATAACAAAAGTATCGATATTACATTTGATAGTAAGAAAATACTGCAATATACAATTTCTTTGGAATTCATGTTAAAACTTCTAGATATTTAACTCTTTCTGCTATAGTTTTTTCTAAAACGCTACTAACACTGAGCTATATAATTCTTCACTGAGCTAAACGTTTGTGATTGCATTCTAAATTGTATCAGTATATATAAAACTAAATTTTATTTATACACACTAACATCCAGTGTCGATTTTTTGGCTTTTTTATCTTAATTCTTTGATTTATTTCATTTAAGCCTAAATTCTACTAAAAATAATAAATGGGATTGTGAATTATAATACAACTGAAATGTATGGGCGCAAGCGTACTGAGAGAGATAGACAATTGCTCATACGTTGCTCGTGCGATACAGTAATTCCAAAAAGTTTATTTATTTCAACCGATAGCTTAACCTTTTAACTGTGTTTGGAATCTTTTCGACCAATTGAATAATCTCGAAGATGTTTTACATCCATAGACTTAACATTATTGAAACTGTATTTTACAATAATCGCTTTAGATTTGTGTTCCAACTCAATTAGTTTTTGATTGGGATGGTATCCAAATGGTCACCAAGAGGACTGACATACGCAGAAAGTACGTAGGAGAAGGATAGCGATAGTTTCGGATAGAGTACCTCTAGTAAGAATATGGCTAACAGAGCACAAATGTGATAAAACCAGAAACGCGCGCACATTTTCAAATATGCTCTGAAGTGAAAATTAAACTCAAATTGTACATTAACAATGATTGTTGAGGATGCGTAGGGAAGTTCACTCCTTACACTGATTTTCGTATATATATATATATATATATAT